TTCTGAGTGTTTTATGTGCTGCAGAACAGGAACCTGCTGTAAAACAGCAATTATGCTGAGTTAGGCTTGATTTTTAGTAATCTTTTCCTGTTAAATAAATAAATCAAATMAAATAAAATCAAATCAATGACTTATTTTAACAGGAAGAAACCTCTAGAAGAGCAGCCATCTTGCACAAATGTCCACAAATGTTTATTTATTTTTTTTTATGAGGATGGGGGGTGAAGCGGGACAGAGGACTTGAAGCTGCGGACAAAACGATGCCTTTTTTGTCATAAAGCGGCAAAAATAAGAGCTGGCGTCTGCACTTTGAATGGAGCAGCAGTAGAACTAAGGGACCTGAGGAAACCCAACCATAACTCTAGGATTTATCAAAAAAGGAAAGTCTTAAATCTGGTCCAAGGAGTCAGCCTCACACAAAAACTGGTAGTTGGTTTCAAAAAATTACGTTTTAATTTCAAAACTCTGTAGGAACCGCAAGTAAACCTGCAGTCTGAGAGTGAAGTGCAACACAATAAACAATTCAGTGTTTTTATAAGGTGAAGCTGAGCATTGGAAGACTTAAAATTTTATGAATTTAACAGGGAGCCAGAGTAGAGAGGCTGAAACTGAAGAAATTTGAAACATCTGTTTAATAAAAAAATAAAAAAATAAAATAAAATCACGGCCTAAAAATAACAGATGCATGGAGCAATTGTTCTGCATCATTTTAAAAKATGTTTCTAATTTTAGGTGGAAGAAAGCAGTACTGATAACATTTTTTAATGTTCGGGTAAAATCATGATCAAAAGTCTGATTTATGATAAAACATGTATATATTTCATAACCACCTATTAGACAGCTGATATTCTGTCTGATTTAACGTAGTTGATAATTAGGTCCCTGGTATTAAAAGCTTAGTATAGTTTCAACATAATCCTTGTTTTATGAAAACCTGTCAAATAGAGAAAAATAAGCAGAATGTTTTTACTGACATCTACTGGGGACCGAGTCTTTGAAAGTTTGCTCTCTTTTCCTTACAGTTTGCAACGTGCCGTCTTGACTCAGCAACTAATTAAATGTATAAGATGGTCATGGGTTTATGGGAAAGTTTAAATTATTTAACAATACACCTGCTACTTTTTTATTTGCAGACAGTAACAAGGCTAAAACACATTGTAACTTTTTATTGCTCTTTGATAAAGTGACTTTTTTTTGTCGGTATCTGTGTTCATTTGTCTGCAGTGTTAGCAAAATATCCCATGAACCAGAAGACAGATTTGAATGAAACTCTCAGTAAGCGATATCTAAAGTTATTTTTTATAACTGACTAACTTTTGGAACCAACCCCATTCATGACTACAACCACAGCTTAGCAAACTTWGAAAACACAAACGTGACAATAAATCAGTTAATTTTACACACATTGGGCTAAATCTTGGTGTGGTAGTAGCTGAGTATTAACCCCGACACATAGTTAGAATATGACACATTGCGCAATATCTGTGCTTAAAACTGTGTCATTAACTTTTGGCTTCAACCATGCCTGTCTGTTAGCAAAATAAGCCATTTTCCACAGCACTGAATTTATTAAAACTTTCAAAAAGTAATCGTTGGATGAGCATCTACAACTGATTAACGTTTGGAGTCAGTACAATTCAAGATGGCTACTACAGCTAACTGATATTCGCAAACACAAAATTGATTCTAACTGAGGCAGATTTTCAAATAAGGAGGTAAAACTTGGCATGGTCGTAGCAGAATGTCATTTACAACTCATGTTTTGAGTGCTTCCCATTAGGTAATATTTTTGCTTAAAAATATAACATTAACAATTGTCAGGATCCTCATTTTGTCTGTTAGCAAAATATATTTTAAACCACCTAGCAGATTTTAATGAAACTCTTGGAAAGTATTCACTAGATATACCTTTACAGCTGATTTACTTTTGTAGTCATTCCAATTCAAGATGGATCCCATAGTTAGTCAATATGMGACAGCACAAAAATAACTAACACATCTAATTTTACAGATACTGAGCTAAAAGTTGACTAATTTGATGTCCTGATGCATCTCAGTAATCCAGGTAAAAAATCAAAGGAAAAAAATTGTATAGGTCCTCTGGACGGGTTCTTCTTTAATGAAACATTT